TGTTTTCACAGGCCGATGGAACTTAATGAAACCTCTGCGATGTATCGGAAAGCCTCGCTATCGTATGATTTTACACCCTCTACCATCACAGCTCCAGCACCTGATGGAATAACTCAGTATAGTAATCCTGTGATTATAGTTTCAGTGGGCATCAGCAGCTACAAAGATTGTAGGCGGGCTGCTCTTTATTTGCCCACAAAAAAACACATACATTTTGGATGGAGATCAAGCTGACTTTAAATTCCTAAAGACGGCTTTGAATCTGGGCCTGGATGAGAAGTATGGAGAAAATAAGACAAATCAACAAGAGTAATGGTCCACATTGTGGCTTTCAACAGAGAACGGAGGGACAGTGCGTGAGAGTTGTGTGTCCATTATAATGTGGATGAATTTCTTCTTTCTTCAAGTTTTTTTTAATCCATCTTTCTTTTTTCAGTTTTTGTAAATATAAGTTGAAAAGCTCATTATTGTCTTTCATTGTGTACATATATACATACACATACATAACAGCCCAAAAAATGCTACAGAAACATGGCCGCGTTTGTGAACGACATATCACATTATAAATATGTTCTTTGTCTCTGCTGCAACGTGAGCCTGGTGGTTTCAAATATTTCTACTTCGGAGGGAGTTTTGGAAAACGAGCAATTTCCCGAGCACGTTCTCTCTGGCTCAGTCCAGCAAGGAGGGCCAAAGCGCAGCGGAGAGATGTGTTTTGAGATTTATCAGGGCACGGCAGACGCCGTCTGGGAGAATGAAAGGTAGATAACAACTGAGAAGAAAAGGGGGAAGACGAGGCGAGATGACAGCCGAATAAAAGTGAAATAGAGTGAGGAGTGAGTGCACGGGTGGAGTAAGTGCCTCTTTCAGTGGAGGGGAGAGCGAAGCTCGGCGACTCGCTGCTCGACGGGTCGATAGGAAATAAGCACAGGGCTGAGGCCCGCAGGAATAATTGAGTCCGGTCACAGGGAGTGTGAAAAAGTGCCGGAGCAGCAGAAAATCCAACCATAACTCAGGGAGATTGGAGAAGGTGAGATTTACTGTGTGTGTGTGTGTGAGTGTGTGTGTGATCAACAACCGAGATTCCTCCATATCGGAGTCTTCCAGAGAAGCAGACGGCTGCTGGAAAGTCCACATTTTTAGGTGCACGTTCCCACATTTTGTGTCTGCTGAATTTAATTTACTCAATAAGAGAATCCGTCACGGACGTCTGATTGGTCTCCATACAGCCGTACAAAAGTGTTCTGGCAAAATATGATCTGCATCAGCAGCAATTATTATCCATCTTTTCTTTTGTATGCCCTGTGTGATATTAAGCCCTGAGGGACATTCTCCACTGGTAGCAGTTCATGCTTCATTAACTAAAGCATAACAGTGGCGTGACATTTTATAAACGCGCTTTTTCATAGTTTTATGTTATCCCAGTTATTCACTCGGGGCAGTTAGCAGTTTTTGATGGGTGGAGATAACCCATGCTGCAGCGACGGGAGAAAGCCCGTTCTGTGTGAACCAACCCCCCCCCCCCCCCCACACTCCCCCATCTTGCCCCTTTTCACTCCCTGCGCCTTGTCGCTGCGATGACAAAGTGAAGATGGGGCTGTGGCATTGGCTGCCATTCAGCTTGACTCTCTCATCGGCCCCACAGAATGCCTTTCAGGGTCCCCCAGAGTAACAACTGCTGCGTTTTATTACAGCGTGAAATGGGGAGTGAAAGAGCGCTATGGATGTTCCTGCTTAACCATGCGGAATGTGTCACTGTTTGGAAGGAAGATAAGGGGACAAAGGGGAAATCAGCCGCTCAAACGCTTTTTGTTAAGACTAAGAGCTCAAGTACATAGAAACAACCCCCTTGCTCTTGTTTACATCTCAAAGCAGCACCAGTGGTGTCTTTTTAGTTGAAATTTGTTCAAAGATATGTTAACATATCATTGGATGATTACATGCATTCCTCACGCCATTCAAACAGATGGCAGCCGCGTTGCCAGCTGGAGAGATTTGCTCGTCGGAGACCCAGACATTGGCACCTAAACCAAGCAGATTCATTATGTCCAGCTCAATTATGGTCTCCGCTCCACTTTTCCAAGTCTTTTCCAAGAATAGATCTCAGAAATCACTAACACTAGCCAAGATGACCAGGGGTTTGAGGGCTCCAAGCCTCCGTGGGACCAACTAATATGAACTGTCATACCACAGATATCTCCTGCTGTGATCCCATTGATTGAATGCTTTTATGTGTTGTTCATACATACGGGAAGTTTTACTAATACATATTTTGGTTTGTTGTAATCGCCAATATTGTGGTGTGGCAACAAATCTGAAAAATGTCCTCAAATCAAAGCATAAGTGCATGTTGTGAGACGACGAGGGTGTGTATCTGGATGTGGTTGAGTGGAGTTTGGTACCCCCCCCCTTTACCCCCGACCCCCCTGCCCCTAAAACATTGCACAAGAGCTTGGAGAATTTTTTCATGGCGCTATCCCAAGCATGCTTTTCGACGGCATTGATATTGTGGTTTTACATGGTGCACCGAACTCTTCAAAAGGGAATCGGGCAATTGATTGATGAGAGCACCTTTTGTAATTACATACAGCCGTCCCATTTGCTTTGGCAAGACATCTGTCGTCGGGGCTCCTCTTCCCTCCTTAAGTGTCGGGTTGTGGGTGTGGCCGGGGCGAAACGCTGACAGATTTGTCGGTTTTTCAGCACACCTGCAGGGAGCTCTCCTGGCTGCCCCAACGAACGCTCAATGCTTTTTAAGAGCGCCTGTTACGATGTAACCGCTCATCAACGAGGAACAGCCACAACTGTCCCAGAGAAAGACTCGATTTCAGCAGTGCTTTGGGAACCTTTGCCCTGAAAATGGAGAAAAAAGCGGCGAGTGTTAGGCTGAGACATTGCTAAACACACAGCCAGCATTCTGATCTGTGTTGCAATATCCTCCGTACGCAATGTGATGTGTTAATTCATGCTGCTTGGCATGCAAGCCCGAGCATCTCGGGCTAACGATGATTCTATTTTCACTTCCTCATGAAAAGCCCATGGAATGCATTCAGTCCGTGCACACAAGATCTTTCAAAGAGCAAGATGAGCTTGATCCCCGGGCTTACGTGTGTATGTTCAGTGATTTGTAGAAGGGATTTGGGAGCCTTAACATGTGCGTCTATTGGCTGAATGTCCTTTAGACACTGCTGCAGCACACAGCCATTGCCTCAACGCCTCATTGTTCCCGCGTGTGGGGCCGGGATGCCTTCGCTGCAGGCTCTGCTCTCAGAGGACGCAGTTGACAACAGAATTAATGATGCAAGGTCACAACGATATTAATAGCAGACGATGATAAGACAGAGTTTACACTCTGGGCGGTGAGGAATATAACTTTGACAGCGCTATTGAGCTCATGTGTCATCTTAAATCTCTTGAGGTGTTGCAGTGGTTCCACCTGATCAGCTCTGTAGAAACCACATCACTGTCTTCTGTAGGTTCTCAGCTGTCATAACTACATACTCACCCTCCAAGGTGTTCAGTAATCCCTCCGGCAATTTCCATTTCATATTAGCCCCGGAGGGATGTCTGTATTGCTGAAATACCATCCGTCCCAGCCTCTTCCACCCTCCGGAGCCAGCTGCTCAACACTCGGCTTCCCGAGACGAGGCTGGCCAAAGCCGAAAGCCGAAAGCTCTGTGAAATTGAGCGTTGGCAGACGTGCGCGTGCTCTTGATTGCAGCGTGGTCCTCCAGAAGCAAGGTTTATGTTTCATCGTGTGCCCGACCGGCGCACTCCATAAAAAGCAAATAAACTTTTCACTGGCGATGGCATAATAACGACTGAGTTGCACTAATGAGCGAATTAAAGAGTCATAAATACCACTGTGCCCCCTGACTGAGATGTGAACTTTCTTACATCATCTTAAAATACACTCGGTGGATGCCCTCATTTCGCCATCCTTCAGGAGGGTACCTGACATAACGCTACGCTGATCTGGTTACCTTCTTTGAGAGGAGATACACCTCACCCTCCCACCGACCAACATATTGGACCGTCCCGAGTGTTTAAAGCGTCTCTTCTCAGCGCTGCAACTGGTGCAGGACTCTAAACGAAATGGAGTCGAATGAGTGACTTTGGCAGGTCTCTGGTTGGTGTGGTTTGGGCTGCTCCCAGTGCAGCATAGCAGCCGCCTGGCAGTGGTTTGACTGTTTGACTCAGCCTGCTCTTCTCTTTCACACCAGCTCTTTGTGGCCAGCAGCACCGGGAGCAAATCAAACCCTCGCTTCTCCCAGTACCATCTCAACATATTTTCTTTCCTACGGCCGCATCTGCCTGATTCTATTGGACATGCATGGACTTTTGTGTTAAATTACATTGGCTTTTATTGAATTTGATCCATCCAGTGTGATTTATAGTATTTACAGTGAGAATAGTATGACTAGATTGGTAAAGTTTCATTTTACATTTTATCATCCCATTATGTTTGGCAAAATGACTTTGAGTTCCACTCGTGCTGATGCTTTTTTTTTTTTCCTTTTATCCCGTGCCTATGCCAAACATTCAGTAGATTTGTTCCACGTGTCAAAGAAGGGAATCCCAAGAACATTATACCGACTATATCATTAACAAAGCGCTCTCTGTTGAAGAGAAGCGAGGCTGGTACCGGTGCCAGAGTGAATCAGCGGAGGGGATCACAATGAGGCGTAGACGGTATGCGCCAGGCTTGCACCCGTCAGGACGCCCCCCGAATCCGAGCATCAAGGGTGTGCCTGACTGCTAACAACGGACAAACCCCCTCGCCCCTATGTTTGCTTTAGCAAGAAGATTGTTGATGTGCTTTGAAGGTATGCCAGGTAACACAAAAAGAGGTGTGACTGGTTGTTTTGAAGGTGCAGGAGGAAGTGGCTGAGCGAGGTGCCCGTCAGTTCAGCCGGAGAGCCTCATCTCCGCGGCATTGATTGCTCCTTGATGTGGCTGTTCTCTTTGAAGAAGTGACACCCTTTCTCTCCTTTTCACAGTGTCTGGAGCCCTGCAAGGAAACCTGGGACCTGAAGGAAAACCAGTGCCAGGATTTATGCGAGGTATGCAACTGCCACAAACACGGGCTGCTCAGACCGAAGGGTTTTTCGGCTTGTACAAATTTAATGGGAAAATTCAATAAGAGGAAAGTCTGAGAGGAGTGTGAAGTAACTCTTTCTGCGCCGTAATGAGCCTCTCTGTTTTGAAATGCACCCACCGCTCCGGTGAGTCACGCGCTGAAATGTAAACAGGACGATCCCTGTTAGCTCACAGAGACGCCTGTTCGCAGGCAGGCGGGCAGGTCGGCCTGTAAATGTAATCCGTCACATATCCCCTCCCTCCTTCTCGTCCTCCCCCCGCTAGCCGCTCTTTCCCAAGAAGCACTACGAGTGTCTCACGAGCTGCGAGTTCCTGAAGTCGGTGGAGGGCGTGAAGCAAGGCGACTGCCCCGCCCCCGAGAAGGCCAGCGGCTTCGCCGCGGCCTGCGTGGAGAGCTGCGAGGAGGACGGAGAGTGTTCAGCTGTGAAAAAGTGCTGCTCCAACGGCTGTGGCCACACCTGCCAGGTGCCTAAGAACCTCTACAAAGGTAATAGCTCACAGGGGGGGTGGGTAAACCTGCACCACCTCGTAGTGCCACAACGTCATTTTGCCCCAACAAATTGTTCATTAAAGGTTCTAGTCCATATAGTCCCGGATTACGATCATCAGTTTAATGGTGTTTTTTATTGAGCCATCACAAAGCAGTTGTAGTAGTATAGCATGTGGTGTATACAATGCTATGCAATCAGGCAAGGCAGAAGCATCATGCTTACCGATGCCTTCCCTGCATTCTTTGTATTACTGCTCGGGAAAACACACACATTTTGTTATTAGGAGGCAACAAGTTTGTAATATTGGCATTAAAAGGTGATGGTATGTAAAGTTTGCATTCAACCTGCCTCTGCTTTCCCCAGAGGGGCCCAAAAAATGTTTAATAGCAAAACGCAGAAACACAAGCGTCATTTATTTATTGGAGGAAAAACGGAGGTTGACATCCAGGATGCACTCAGCCTTTAGACATTGGACTGTGAGCATTGATAAAGATGTTTAATTGGCCGTGAACTCAGCAACTCATCTCTTGTCATATGTGTCATAACTGGTAATGGTCCAATGCTGACGTCAGCTGTTTAATGTGATTAAATGTAGCAGTTTGCATAACTTTTATTCACAGTGTTGAACCAATTGATCCTTCGCTGTCAAGCATTATTTTCAAATCTCAATGACGTAAATTCCAGCTTATCTTGAAGAATTTTCGACAGCTTGCAGAGAGCCATAAATCTTTATGTCATCTCTTTGTATCGCTCCTCGCCCACACATGCTGTTCCTGTGTTAAATTGGAATATATCTTCAGCCTTGAATTTGTGGGATAAGCATAAGGCTTTCACAGACGTACCAAGGAATCTTTGCTCCAGTAAAACATTTTAATAGTGTTGCCCGAGGCGACCTGATGTTCTGAGGGTGCTGAGCTGTTATGTGAGAGAACCAATAGCCTCTGAACTTGGAGATGGGAGCTGGAACTCCATTACATACACTATCTGCGCACAATTGCCGGCAGCCTGAGGCCAAAACAAAGCTGAGGAGATGTTGAAGTGAGAGCGCTGGAAGATGAGTCTAAATCGAGCTTTGAACAGTGATCGGCTGTGCATGCTTTGAATCCCGCTGCACTTGGACTAAGCACGTTTCACTGTGTGTAGTTCAGAGACGAATGAGCGTGGGATTTTGAGCTTGTGCACACAGAAGAGCACGCTATTTTCTTATTATTTGGTTTGCAAATGGAAAGACGAACGGCGCGTCGATAGGGGGAAATATGAAAGCAGGCGTAACCTTGAGAATCGACCCGGTCAATAAAAGCCTTTCAGCCCGCTGTGAGGCGTTCAAATCCAGCAGCCCACACGTCTCATCCTCAGTCCTCATTTACACTGAACCACTCTCAGCGTTTTGGTGAAAGTCCGGATGGATTTCCTGACCCGGTCCCCAGTGTTAAAGGTCTAATAAGTTGCTCATGGTTTGAAGAGCGTAATCGTTTCTGTGTGTGCGTGTAGCGTTTGCCATGATGAGCCATGATGCTGGAAGCCATTAGCCAACGCAAGCGGGCAGAAATGGAGCGTTTCCCCCCAGTGAGATGACTCTCAGATGTGTGTGTGTGTGTGTGTTCAGGTTAGGGTTCCCAGCCCACGTGCATGTCATTGATGGAGGAAAACGTTGAGACACTGGACCCCCACTGGGCTTTTGATGAGCAACACAGCATCTTCTTTCTTTACATTAATGGAGCCCGATGCTGTTTCACGTGATGCCGTCCGGAGGATGTGTGTGCAGGCTTGTGCCTCTAAAACGGTGGTTCATAACGCACTTCCCTTCCCCTATATCTCCCTCTAGTTCTGTCATTTTCTGACCCAGCTTAAGTGTTAAGGTGCGTCTTTTCTGATTTAAGAGCAACGCTTACTTCAGCTCGATGCTGTTGGAGAAACTGTCAAAGGAGCTGGAGGGGGTTCGAATAAACGAATATGTAGAAAAAGTAGATGTCGGAGGGGAATTGATTTCAGCTCAAGGTATCCTCGCACTGTCACAACACGCCAGTTAATCAGTCCATCAGATTACGGTGTCTTCAAGCAGTGTTTGTAGTCCTTCCTCGACACTTATAATTAGAGCAGTCATTATGACAGTATGTGCGTGAGTATTGCGAATTATGCTCTTGGAGTGTAATTGTTGGCATGATTAAGACCTAAATACACGCCGTGCATCTTGCTTCAGCAGCAGTTGCATGAATCACGGTTCGGAGGAAGCGCTCAGCCATTGAAAGAAATCGAACGCCGCATGATTCTTGGACCGATCTCGACCCAATAGTTATGTTTGGAAAGAGCAAGCTGGCGGGAAGGTGTTCGCTGTGTGCAGGAGTGCTCGGGTGACTTTGAGCTAAGACAGAGGGAGAGGTAGGAATGCTGTGGTTACCTTGGTGTTCAGCATTGCCCAAGAAATGTGACACATTTGATCGCAAGCAGACACACACACACACACACACACACACACACACTCAACAAGCGACGGCGTGAAACCACAGGACGACGACCCCCAGCTGTTAGTGTGCAGAAAGCTGTTATCGACCGGACCAAACCAAAGTACTGTCTCAATGAGGACGGGGCTCAAGGACCCTCCTCAATCCCCCTGGATTTGGACTATACGCATCAATCACTTTCACATTGTGTGAAGACCGAATAGAGACGTAGGAACATCAAGTGCTCTGCATACAAAACGCGCTGCTGATTATGTTGTTTACCGACACGCCGCGTTAGCTTTGAGCGTCGTGTTAATGCTGTTTAGAAACGCTGATTTCCATACAGCTCTGTCTCTGTCGAGCGGCCCTCGACAGAGACAGGTTCCAGGTCCATCATAAAGGTTGGAAATTCTAGTTGATTTATTGAGAACGCTGGGACGTATACCGCCTTCTCCAGGACTTTTAAACTTGCTTTTCCAATCTCCATCTCATTATTGCTGTGCCCAACGCTCAATCAACAGCTCATTTCGTCTGCACTGCAATAAGTTTCCTCGAGAGGGTCAATCTGACTTGGCTGAGAGTTTGGTCCAGTCCTGCACTTAATAAACCTCTAATTTATTGCACATGGCCACATCCACTTCATTCCAAGAGCTGGATGTGGAGTGCAGGGATGCAAATGCTACTTTACATGCATGCGTGTTTGAGAGGGAGACGCATGCCCCAACGCAAACTGCTCGTGTCATTACTAAGAAGCCAAGCTACTAAAACACGTTACCCTGGCCAGGTATGATCCAAAACCCTTCACAGTAGAAAGATGATGCTGTTGACCCGCCGCGTGAATTAAATCTATTGCAGTGAGGTCATGTCTCATTTTCCTATCTGTTCGACTGTGACTCTAGAAAGGAAAACAACACATGTCACCTTGAAGTTCACCTGCAACGTTCCTCACAGCGGTTATATTAACTCCCATCACGCTGTCGCCTGTTTTTGCTTTTACTCTTAGGAGTCCCTCTGAAGCCCAGGAAAGAGCTGGGTTTTGTGGAGCAGCCGTCGGGCCAGCTGGAGATCCGTTGGTCCTCCAAGTTCAACATTTCTGTGGAGCCCGTCCTCTACGTGGTGCAGCGACGCTGGAATTATGGCATCCACCCCAGCGAGGACGATGCCACTGAGTGGCAGACCGTGGCACAGGTAGGACTCTACACACCATACGTGCACAACACTGCAGCATGTGAGCGGGAGCAATGTCTCTCTCCTTTTTTTTTTTTTTGCTTTGCAGATCCCATCAAATGAGTGATTCTTTTGATCAGACATTTGGGATTTGGATCACTAGGAAATGTCAGCTTCACATGTCCCGGCGTGCCACATGCCGCAGCTGTGAAAGTGCTAGAGTTTCACTGACGGGCTGCTGCACACGGTTGCACATTCCTCCCAGTCGCAGTGTCTTTGAAAAGTTTGGCAAAGAGAAACATGCGAATGACTGATGTGGCGGCAAACTCTGATGGGGCTGTGACCCTGCGTACACCCTGACCCCTGTGGTTTTCTCCTCCCCCATCTGTCCCTCAGACTGCAGAAGAGCGCGTCCAACTGGCCGACGTCAGAGCCAGCAGATGGTACCAGTTCAGAGTTGCTGCAGTCAATGTCCACGGGACCCGCGGATTCACTGCTCCCAGCAAACACTTCCGCTCCTCCAGAGGTCTGTGTGTTTGTGTGTATATACATATGCATGTGTGTGTGTGTGTGTGTGTGTGTGTGTGGCCTTAGGTTCCTGTTTGACACCCAGTGAGACCCGGGGGCCATTTGTTATGGGTTAGGACCTTGGAACAGGTGGAGCCTCTGGGAAAAGGTTTTTGATACTTGATTTGATGTGACCAGACAAATCCAAGTGTATGTGCTGGAGCTTTCTTCTCAATTCTGTTTTTCACCTGCTCTTTGCACCTCGTCTCTCTTTAGAGGGCGAAAAGACTCATTTAGTGAAGTGTTGTGCAGCAAAGACATTGGGACTAAAATATGATTGGTGAAGCTTAACATACCCGCATCACTTCTGACTGTTTTGTTTGATGTGTTTATTAAAAACTTCTTCTTTCGTTATCCGTGTTAACCTGGATTGTAAAAGCTTCCCCTCCTCAACCGCAACACGTTCACCCAGTTAGTTAAACGGTAATTCTCCGCGGTTGCCAAGTAGAAAGCGAGTAATGAGGAGCGACTGGGTGAGGAAAACGTACTTCTTTCTACGTTGAAACCAGATCTCTGTTTACGTCCTCAAAGGAGGGGTTTCCCCCTTACAGTCATATAAAATGTAATATGTCGGAATTACTCTGGATATTGCAGGTTTCAAATGAATGCAAGTGCTGTCTTGAGTCCAGAGGGAGTGACGTAACCCGCGCGCGCCTCAGATCTCTGCCACAGATTAGGCAACAAGCTCTGATGGAGCTGCTCCGCTCCCGTACCTTGCGCTCTTAGCGTTGAATGACGCTAAATCCCGGCGTTGTGCTCCACATGGCATCTGTTAAAGCGATGGCCGATCGTTGAGTGGTTCCCGTGGAGCACGCAGTTGTGAATAAAATATGTTCAGATTGAATCTGATCCGGATCGGGGACACAGAGTGTTTGTTTGTGCCTCCGAGTTGAGCGCCTGTAAAGGTACACCGTGTAAAATAGTGTCTTCGTTGTATTTGGTCAACTACGTAATGCACCGTGCTCCTTATCACACTTTACCAAACTTGTGTTATTCATTCATCCATATATGGAGTTTTCTTTTGAAGTAGAGCACCAGGCAAACATCCTAAGTACTACGCGGTTTCCGCCCAGTACCGAAAACCTGTGCCAAATGCAGAAAGTACCGGTGGGTTTAGTGCGGTGCGTGTGCGCCCGTTGACCTGCCCTGTCAATCACCTCGTCGTGCATTTACTCCCCAGAGCGCTCTGGAAGGCGGTCAAACAGAGCCGTACACCAGGTGGGAAAAAGATTCTGCTGCAGGGATGAAAACCGACCTCCAATCAGGCCAATCAGTGCCAGAACGTTGATAGATTGATGGGAGCCGTCATGGATTTGATGAGCTCCTGGCCTCTCTGTCATGCCATTGTTAGTATGGCCATATCATCTGATTGCAATTTTGCACGACCATACTTTAACTAAGGGCAATTTGTAAGAACTGCTTATTTATCTTGCGCAGCCGACATCAGCTGGCGCGGAGAACCGATTTGTCCAATTTTGTTGTTTGACGGGATTAAATGCGTTTCAGGTGGGAGAGGGCACGAGGAGGGGACGGCCGGCCGGGCTGTGGCGTGAATCATTTTGTCATTACGGGGCCATTCCCATTCTGGCGTCTGGCACGGGGCCCTGCCTCTCCTCGTGCACCGGCAGGCTGACATCAGCTCGCTTACAGTGCATTCGGATGGTCCCCGAACTGTCTTTACGCTAGACTCACACACACACACACACACACACAGTACGGGAATGCTGGAACCAAAGTGAGCTGCATGTGTTTGTTAACCCCTGACCTGCACTCTCGGTGCGGCCGAACACTGTCATTGACGCAACATGACACCTGTCATAACATCTCATGGCAGATTGTCAGTAGAGGACTAATTGCCTCACACGGTGTCATACTGGTGCCCCTCCCTGACTGCAAGGCTGACTCGCAAGTGGTGAAAGGTGTCTTGGCCCGCAATGCGTTCGACCTAAAATTATCCTCGTAAGAAAATCTGCCTCGACTCGAGATTTGTCACACGCGAGAACCAGACGCCCTCTTTGTTTTGCACTCTAAACGTTTACAGATGTGCTAAAATCCGTTGGCGCTGACCGTGTTGTTTCATGTCGGTTGCCGTGTCCTCAGATCCATCCGCCCCTCCCAGACCGGCGGGCTTGCGTGTCAGCAACGTGACGCTGGGCGACGAAGGCCTGGTGACAGCCCGTCTGAACTGGACCCTGCCAGAGGAGCCCGATATCCCCATTCATCACTACAAAGTGTTCTGGAGCTGGACGGTGCCCACCAAGAGCCTGGTGCCATCCAAGAAGAAAAGGAGAAAGACCACCAACGGGGTAATCTCCTCGCCCGGCTCTCAGTGATCTGTTCTTTCTCTTCCTTTTGCCTGCTCTCTCTCAAGACGTCTTTTTCTCAACACATCACTGTAAATATGATCAATGCAGTGGAAGAAAGGATAAACACGGAATAGGAAAATTGGGTTTATTTATATACTCACAAGCTATCCATCACACACAGAATGATACAATGTGTTATTGGTTGTTTTAAAAACTGATGAAAGAACCCCTCAACGCACTGTTACGCTTTGAATGAAAACAGATTAAGTATGATAAATAGCCGTATTCATGGTTGTTAATCACAATCTGTGGTTGTCAGATAGCTCATTTACTATTGTTCCTCTATCTTGCAGTTTGCGTTTTTGACAAAAACATAAATCTCAGTAGTCTCAAGGTCAAATATGCACGTATCTATACTTCATATGCTGCTATTGTCCTTTACTTTATTGCCTATAGAACATCTCAACTAAGGCGAGAATCAGTATTAGCAGAGTAAAAGATACAACATCCAGGAAAAATTCTCTCTTTCTTAAAAACTAAAGTAAGATACACATGATTCTTATCGTTAACTCCTTGTGAAATTCTTTTCTTCATGGTCCTTTTGGAGGGATGTAAGACACACGGCCCCCGACTGGCAATCCCATAGAAAGGATGAATGCAATTTGGTTTTATAAGCTTAAACAAACAGGCGAGCTGAAGGGTCACAAAGTTAGACTTCCTAGTTCGAATAACTCAGAAAGCCATGGAATAATATTTGGATAGTATTTGTTGTCCAATGTATTTATTTTTAGAACACAACCCATGACTGTATGGATAAATCATTGCCTGCGGTCATAAATTAGACTCTTCTGCGCATAACTAAATAATCATTCGATCTAAGCGTCTTGTGAGCACATACCTGTGGTTTGGTATCGGTGACGAGCATTTCATCGCAGACTCGAGCAGAGAGACCGATTGTCTAGACACACCTCTATCGAGTCTTCTCCTGAATTAGTCTATGAAATGCGTACCAGATGTGGCACAGAGGAGATAAAGGTGGGAGACACCAGACACCCATTGACACATGTACTACTGGTTTCCACTTTGGCACCTCGGGGCTTTGAAAGCGGCCTGCTGGTGGAGGAATGTCAAAACACGCACAGTCAATAACAAGAATTCATCGAGCTCACGCTGACGGTGGAATGCTGCAAGTCAAACACAGGAGAGGAAGCCCTGGGAGGCTCTGATAACACGGCTCCCTCACAAGACCCCGAAGCCCATCTCCTCGCCGTGAGACCTTCCCCAGCTCCACATGTGCTCCCAATAAACACGGCTTCCCCACAGGGCCCCGGCTGGCCCAGCCCGAGCGGAGCTGGAGCTGTGACTGGGACAATGGTGGAGCTGAGAGAAGGAGCCCCAAGTGACAGTGTGGTAACATACCGGAGCCAACATGCAAGTGTTTTCCGTTGTTGCAGGCTCAGAGCTGGGTGGAACTGGAGGGACTGCAACAAAACAGCAGTTACACCGTGGAGCTGCAGGCCGTCACATACTGGGGACAGGTGCGTCTGAAGAGCTCCAAGGCTTCCCTTCACTTCAGCACCTCCAAGAATAATGAATCAGGTAAACGTTGGTGCTGATTTTCTTTGCATAATTCAGCTGTCGGACTCTTGGTTGCGTGTTTTCAGGCGCTGGGGATGGCAATGCCAGTCGGGTCGCTCTGAAATCTGAAATGTGGGAGACATGTTTGGTCCCCTGAAGCTAAACCTTAACAACTCTGAAGAACTTTCTTCCCTAACGTCCCCATGTTGACCAGTGTGAAATGTCAACGATTTAGATCACGCACTACCTAAAATATTTGACTGGATAAATCTAGCAGAATCCTTTTTGTTCTTGTTGTCCAGGAAGTTTGAATTGTCAAACACATTACTTGGAGACAGCAATCATGAGAAAGGCTGCGCATGTGCATTCAGCATTGCGTGTTAACTCGAATCACGCGTGGCTTCAGGAGGAAACGAACGTCTGACCTTGGCAGCGTTACGCAGTAGCGTGCAAACCCATCGGGGTCACGCAACGTTCACGCATCAAGAACATTTGTAACAGCTTTGCTATTACAAATAAATAACGTGTGTTTTAGTTGCCATGCTGGAGAGTTTGCCACAACAGAGTCGCTCTCTTAGCTACAGCACTCACTGTTTCTCTTTTTCTCTTTCCAGTAAAATCGGTGCTCAAGTCAAAGAAGGAGGAGATATCCCCTCTTGGTTCGACCTTGGCCAAGCGCCCCTCTGGCCCGCTCGAGGTAGGCACGCCCTTTTACCAGGATGGCCAGCTGCAAGTCCGTGTCTACTGGAAGAACCGGGGAGGTATGGACTCTACATTGATTTACAGCCATGTTACAATGTAATTAACACTCCATTATCCCCCATCCATCACTATGACTCATGCACGCCATAATTAAGTGTTATGCCCGATTCTCAGTTACTCAAACAATGAAAGGTTCAACCTTTTTTTTTTTTATAAATGCGGTAGATAGCGTAAATGAAATAATAGAAACCGTGTGTCATTGTGAGGGCTAAGTAACGTGAGAGCCGGGCAAATCGGTGTGTAGACCTGCACACGGAGCCACCGTTTAGCAAGAGGAACAATAAACACACAAAGCCCGAGCTCCGCGATGGGATTTATTGACAGCTGTATCTAATAGATCCTCGGATTAGAGTTGAAGTGGTCCGTTTGGTTTTACAAGAACTGATGTCATCGGGAACACAAACGTTGGTGGGTTGCCTGCGCGGCGAGGGGGGTTGAAGCCGACAGGAATGCCTGTCCCCCGGGGGGGGGGGGACGTCCGTTCGCCAACCCTCACCAGAGTGGAGATATGGAAACCTTGAAAGCCGTGCTCCTTCAAGGGTAACCTGTCAAGTCCCATTCGCTGCTCTGCGTTACGCTCCTAATGCATGTCATCGCCTAAGCCAAACTCCACATCTCCGAGTCAAGAATGCAAACCCTGGCTGGAGGGGAGGCCTGGTGAGACACCAACTGCTGAATCAGGGCGCGCGAGAGACAGCGAAGGGGGAAGATGGAGTTGGCCCGCGGCGGTGAGGGGAGGTTGGCCCGGACACCGAGAGTTGAGTGATGATGACGGGCGGGGGGGATCAAGTGCGGCTCAGGGAATCACAGCGTCGCAGCGCCGAGTTAATCCCGTTCCAGCTTTTCCCTTTTTGTGCCTCTTGTTTGCCGCGCCGGTCTGCAGCGTGCGTGAGCCACCGCCGGTCATTAGCGTGAGGGATGACCCGGGCTTCCACTCTTGACAACCCGAGATCCACTACTGTAAACACACAGACGGCCCCCGAGGGCCGTGCTCCCGGGACGTCTGGACTGTGTGACGGAGAGAAGGGACAGGTTAACTGGGCCGCCATTAAACTCTCACCCGTGATGCACAGCAGCCCGTCCTCTGGTCTGTGTGTCCAGCACACAGAGAGAGAGAGAGAGACAGACCCCAGCGTACGGCAGCGCCGATAATATACCGCCGTCTGCCCGACAGCCGGACAAAAGGCAGCCGTCCGGGCAGCGGCGGCACTTGGTGGGCTCGCTTCCAGCCGTGATTTATCGAGCGCTGCTGAGGTTCTGTTTCCTCCCCCCCCCCCCACCTGATTTCCGTGTCCCGCTCCTTGTTCTACATACCGTCCCCCGTCTCTGTCAGTCCGGCCTAAGCATGTCTTGTTTATTTTCTTTTTTTCTCCCCCGATTTCCCGGTTCCCTGTAATTCCTCTCTTCTGCTTCCAAGAGAGCTCAGGGGCTCCACGTTACCAGATCTGTTTCCAGGCCTTCAAAGGGTCCCTTTTATCTCCCCCCCGCCAAGGGGCGAACGCAGCACAACTCAATTATTAATCGGAGCGATATTTCACATATTCGAGCGACACAGTTAAATGAATAATAAATCTGCCAACATAAGAGGAGGGCGATGGGGCGATAAACAGTGTAGTCGTCGTACTTCCCGGTAAGGAAGCGAATGAGAGCTTTGGATCAGAATGACCGGGGCTGCAGAATGCAAATCCTTAGTTAGCCAAAGTTTGGGTTGGAAGACTTCAGCAAACAAGCAAGAAATCAGGCTGATAAACCGACGCAAGGGTAAAGAAGAAAGTTGTTTTTTCCTCTTCACAGACACACGTTATCGAGATCATCGGTGATGGAAATATGGATGTCAGATGGCAGATAGGGAGTGTTGTAAGATACTTATCAGTTAATCATTTCGGCTTGAGAAACTCTTGCAGTATCCAATGGATGTTCAGTGGGGGCCGCGGTGTTGTGTAACTATTTTAAAAGTTAGAAACGTACTGTACTAAGGTACTAATTTATGAAATCAATGGCTACTTTCCGTTAAACACACAATATTTCAAAGTCGTTCCTCCTCCATGACTTCCTTTATTTTACCATTATATTCATTTGATGCAAATTAAACTTTTATGCTGACACATTCGTTAACTTAAGAATTTGGTCTCTAGCTAAAGATTGTGATTATTGGATAGTTTATTATAGAACGTAGTGTAAAATGCCCCACTGGGGCCAGCTGGTCACCAATCAAAAGATCCATTTGTGGCAAAATAGAGCCAAATCATTATGTTTGTGGAGCTGTGACTGTTAAATATTTGCCATTCATGTTTGATAAAGACAGTAGATGTGTGCTAATGCACAATGACTTGAATGACTGAATGAATACGGAGACGTGATAATATAACACTGACAAAGCTCATGCTGCACCCTAATATGATGAATACCTCCATCCTCCTCTCACAGAGATCTGAGTTGTGACTTTTATTGTGACATGACATAGTTCCTCCTTGTTTGCAGACCCCACTGTGAGTCGCTACCACGTCCAGTGGATGCCGGAGTACTGCGGCCACAACGAGACCCGAGGACCGGAGAAATCCGTCACGCAGGTTGGTCTCCGGCCGGCCGCCTCGCACGCCTTCCGACTGCAGGTCGGAGGCCCGGAGGGCGCAGCTATGCAAAGCACGTGTCTTACCTTTGTGTCTGCCGCTCGGGAAGCACAGCGCCCGCTAAAGAAAACAACTCTGCCGAGTGAGGCCGTGTGTGGTTTGCACTGTGCAAATCACTGGCTGGTGTTTTTGGAAAATTACTAGTCAATCATGTGGTCAGACATTGGGGTGTGTTGGGCAATTAAATGCTTTTACTCAAACAATGTTACCCGGAGGGGGGGGGGAGCATTTGCATCCACAGTCCGGGTCCATGTGTTGTGACCAGGCTTGTTGCTCCTAGCGGGAAGTAGAGTCTGGGTCGGGGTTGGGAGAGTTTCGGGGTTGATACAGGATGGCAGAGGACTGGCAATCAACACATTCTTTGGGGACCCGTCCTCTGGTTGCTAGGAAATATACATCCATTTTCTGTAGATCACTGGGAAGGACTCCAGGCTTGTGCTTTTATGTGAGCACAGCGCCTCGTTCGCTTCTAATCAAAGCTGTTTCGTATCAGAGAGAATACACACACACACACACACACACATGCACACACTTTCAAGAGACTGCCTATTAATGTAGAAGCTACGTTTTTGCAAATACAAGATCTAAATCTAAATCCTGACTAGACAGTCAGCAGGATTTTGTTTTTGTCTCCTTGAATGAGATGAGAAAGGCGTTTTCTTCCGTTGTGATCAGTAGATGATTGAAGTTTAAATTGAGTGTAAAACTGCAACACAGCATTCATTAACAGGATTTTGGAGGCCACTCTGTTTAAAGAACTCCCTTTGGTTGCTGCCTCTTAATTAAGTTGTGTTCATGCCACATGTGGAAGCTATAAAAAATCATTTACATTGTAAGCCGAATAGGAGGATAGCGGTGTAACCCCGACCATGTGAGCGTTCAAAGTGGTCCTGTAATGTGGGACATGTTCCTGAGGCCTGAGCGGGAATCTGATCTGCTCGCCGCTGTGTATTTAATTATCTCTGAAGCTCCATGGGAGCTGACCTGGGTGACATGTCAAAGTCATCAAGGCTGAATAATGTGTTTCTTGGCTCAGGAGAACTACATCAACCTCCCGGGCCTGCTGTTCTCCTGCAAGTACAAAGTCACCGTTCACATGCTCAAGTCCAAAAGACGCTCCAAGGACGAAAGCACCACCTTCCTCACGCCGTCCTGTGCCACCATCCGCAGCAAGGCTCAGAAACACGTCCCCTGCCCAGGGGAGGGAGGTGAGTGCCTGGCTGCCTGCACACTATTGATGTGTATTAGTGCCGACGTAGTAATCAGACGCCGCGGCATATATTATCATCGCTGTGATGGACAATGAAAAACCTGCATACGAGCCGCTTAGTTGCTGCAGTCACGAGCGGCATCAACCTTCTCAAGTCCAGCTGTTGGCGAGAAAAGCGCATTTCCCCAAAATGTCAAACTACTTGTTAAATATCAAGACCGTGACCGAGGCCACGTTTCTCCTCACAGCCCCGGGCGCTCCGAAGGTTCTGGCTAAGCCGGAGAACCTGACGGCCTCTTTCTCCATCGTTGAGGGGAACATCACCGGCAGCTTCCTGTGGCGCGTGTCTAAGCTGGCCCCCCATCAGCGAATCACAGGCTTCCAGGTCACCTGGGCCGAGATCACCACTGAAAGCCGGCAAAACAGCCTGCCCAACAGCATCATCTCCCAGTCCCAGATCCTTCCTCCGGTGAGTCTGTCTTCATTCAAGCGGGATTGATCTTTTTTTTGTTTTTCCATCCCATAAAAGCCATAGGAGTAGGGACCACGCTGTCATATGTAGTCTATAAATCGTCCCTAAACTGTGTTCTACTTCCAGAGTTTCATTTCTGTCAGAGCTGAGGGCGATTTGAGGATAAAAATGTTTTGGCCACCTTGCACGGCTCTCCGGATAAGCAGCGGCGCGTAGACAGGTTGAGGGAGAGATCTGAGCCAGTGTTGTGTCCTGCCGGACAGTTCTCCTCCCTGCACGTCTTCCTCTCTTTCATCGTCCGTGGGAGCCCCCGAAAAAAAAAAAGCGTCTCTTTGACATAATCTGCTCCATCAACAACACGTTCCGCCTATCTGCACCTCCCGGCCTCTGGAGCTCGTCTATAAATACCCACACCCACCGCACGCTTTATCAAGCTGGCAGCGAAAAAAAGGGAGAAACGGCGAGCCTTATGAAAACAAAGTCTTTGTTTTTGTCTGTGGCTTTTGCAAAGACGGCACGCCCCCCCCCCCCCCAGTTTTACGGGCCGCTGTAATTGGACAAGCGCGTTCTGTTAAATTTCAACTGATTGCATGTCTTCTGCTGTTCTCCCTCTCACTTTGGCAGGATCATAACTCGCTCGTTGTGTCCAACCTGCGGCAATCCACCTACTACAGGCTGGAGGTGCAGGTCATAACAACCGGAGGGGAAGGTCCTGCCACCGTCAAGACCTTTCAGACCCCCAAAATATTACCAGTCATTCAACACCGTAAGTGACTCCATCGTGTCCACTAATAGGATTTTTGGGGGGGTTTTGGTTCCATCCAGTGGATTTTACTGCTCAGCGCTAACATCATACTGTAGATCTTTTATATTCATCCTTTTTAAAAGACAAAAAAGTCATTTTAGAAAAAAAGACAGGTTTAATTTGAATATCTGCCTTTGCAGAGTTTGATTAGAAGATCGATGCCAACAACCGTTTTGTTTTGCTCAATTACAAAGAACAATTGGAAGAAACAAGTAGCCTATCATTGCCCTACATTAACAAAATCCACCTGCACACAGTTCTATAGCTCACTCATTAAACTGCGACCTAGAAACTGCTCGGAGCCTGGAAACAGTCCCGCGCAAAATAATAGTTTACCTGAAAGCGACTAAGCAGAGCTCCCAAAATGTCAATCTATTAATACCGGCGATGGCTCATGTCACATGCCCGTTTCTGTGTGAAATAGGTCGTTTGAAGCGATGAACACACAGAGAATAACAGCAGCTCCTCTCCGCGCCAGTGTTTTGGTTCCTTTTTGTTTTTTCAGGCACAACGAGCTGCCGTTTAAATATTTCGAAAATGCTGCTCTGTTAGGCTACCTGCCCAGCACCAAATGCCTACCAATGGAGCATATCGGAGCATTTAGCTGCCGTGCTAGTTGGGGTTTGATGTTTTAAGCTCAAAGAATTTTTGAATCTTACATCCAGAGTTCCAGAAAAACAACTCTTGAGTAAATGCCAACAAGCTTGTTTGTGCAGCCTCCAAAAATCAGCAATTTAAAGATGAGTTGAGCTGAGTTGCACCTCGTTGCTTTGTGTTACGCAACATTGTTTTCTACCAGAACGCAGACTTTTAGCGCTGGATGTTTAGCTCAACAAAAGGAGAGGGGGCGTAAAAAAGTATTCATGACACAGATAGCGCAGCGAGCAGCCAAACAAGCACACTTCTACCGCGCGGTACAAAGGTCTGAATCTGAAGAAAAATCTTCCTTTTTCTAGGACCCAGACTGCGGCAGCATCACTCCCACCACCAGAAGCCATCAGTAGAGAGGCACTGAGCTGCGACTCGAGGCGAACCCAATAGGGAGAAGCATTAGTTGCTCTCGGCTCCCGTCTGTCCGGGAAGGAACGTGTGGAACCAAACAGAAACACAGCGCACCGGACCACAAACTGACCCCCGCTCCCCACCACCCACCCCCATCCCTCCCTCCGCTTGTGAAATATGGGTCCATCGTCTCCCGGCTCCGCAACACATCAGCTATTCCCTCGTAACCCCTCTCCCTTGACTGCTACGTGTCAGTGGACGGGTTGCTCTGTACAGTGAAATTTAACCTGCAAGGTCTCATATTCTGCGTCTGTTTAGTATACAGCTTCCCGAACACATCTCTGACTCATCAGGTTAGTGAGTTCTGGGAAGCCTTTAAATAGTTGTGATCCAGCTGTCCTCATACGCAGCCGTAAGATATTAAGTGAATTTTCAATTTGTCGATGTTCAGCCAGTTGATCAGCAGCGAGGAATTAGGTCATGGTCTCCAGAGAAAAGCAGTCAGTGATGACCGAAGATGGATGGTAGGAAATGCCAGAACGTAAAGGTTTTTTCATTCACCGAGAAAGAACAGTAGAAATTCCTCTATTTATTTGTGTTACCCGTTAAAGAGGCGCTTAGGCATACAGTCAGTACTGATGGATAATGTAACTAAAGTCATCGTTGTCTAACCCAGAATATTTCACATAGTATGTTGCATGTGGTACATTTGATTTTCTTGAACTGTAAATGAATTACTCGCTTCAAATTGAAGGCTTGTAATGGTTTTGCATGACAACCGTTAGCATCTGTTGGCATGAAATAATGTCTGTGTTACCTCTTTTCAGTATGTTAGCAATATTTCATTAAAAGATTAACAAAGAATTATAATGGGAGTAATACATGTTTATTAATGAAATTATAACTTGTGTGGAAATGATGAATTGTACATGTTCTTGGCTGTAGAAATATTTGTCGTGGAACAGTCAGTGAATGTCTATATTTATTTATGTGTGTATTACAAAGTTTGGTTTGGATGTGTGTGAATGTGTATGTTCCGTGTGTTCTAGTCGCAAGTTTTTGAACCGGCAAAAAAATCTTGTAAAGACATTTTGTAAAAATGGAATTGTAAATACAGTCTAATGTTACATGTTATTTTTCCATGGTAGACACTGTAAAAATGCTAAGTAATAAAATAATCCTTAACCAGTTACCTCTTCTGTTTGTTTAATTGAAGGTGCTGAGAGCAGTGAATACACACGCTGCCTCCGAGCACTCAACTATTTGGCAGATAGTGTTGCTTATTTTGGCCGTGAAAAGCCATCATGGCTGAAGCAGAGTACAACATGTTCGCTGATCGGGCCGGGAGCCTGATAAATTCACTCTGCAAGTCCAAATAAACAGGTCATCTAGCTCAACCGCCAGAGTGGATTTACCATAGCTGAGGTCGGTCACCCTTCAACAGGAAACTCTGCTTCTCAGAGCACTTTTGTATTAGAAAAGCATTAAATCCCTCCTCTGCTGAGCAGCCTGTCAGCCTCATGAAATGAAAAGTAAAAATGTATAGAAGCAAAAAGAACATTTTGAGCCTTGGTCCCATGAATGCAGGGTGTAGTATTTTTGTTTTTAAAGTTACGTCCATTGGATGAAATAGTTAAACATGAATTTTAAGCAATCAAGACAGTCGTTTTGAAAGGACATGTAGAGTATTTTCAAATGGTATTCAAAAGGGTATTTGTAGTTTCTGCACAGTATCTGTACCTGTCAAACCTGGCATTTTGGAATTAAAAAGTACATTTCTGCAAGAAAGTGTTTGTAATTCATCTCTATTCTCTCATAGATTGAATAGAAGAAACCCGATTAAAATTAATTGTGTATTGAGATCAATTTTATATTTTATTTTTTCCAGCCTTAAACTGAAGCATTTTCCTGAGTTCCATTAGCCACTTCAATTTGCCTGCGAGATACCGAAAGAGACCAGTGTCCCAAAATACACCATTATTATACCAGTGTGCAGCATGCCGAGGCACAGTTTCCTTTTCTGCCCCTGGTTAATAAGTGTCCATTAAATTACACTGGGAAATATGTCAGTTTTAAACAAAATGCACTACATACAGTATTATGTCTGTGCGGTTGCACATGTTTGCTTGTGCTGCCTTTCATACGTGTGTGTTTGTGAAGAGATTTCTCTGTCCAGATGTTTAGATTTCACGTCAGTTCACGTCACCGTTTTCAACAAGCGAGCGACAAATCCTAGTCCTGTTTTTTTCACACACTCAACCTCTTCAGTCAGTCAAAGCTTGGCCGCTCACTTCTCAGGGATGTTGTTTATGTACAGTTCTATTATGTCACAGGAGATTAGTTCCTCTTGGTCTGTGCACGCTAATCCCCCTCTCTTTTTCTAGGAGCCCGGCCAGTGTTTAGCCAAGGCTCCTTTCTGTGTGAGCCAGCCCAGCCCCTCTCTCCCTTTCAGGCTGTCACAGCCCCTTTCCCTGCAAACACCCAATACCGTGGACCTCGAGTGTGAAAACCTCACAACAAAAGGTCCTCCAGCCTCTTTTCAGGCATGTTGCAAGACGTCCAAGTCTCCAGGGACTTGGAAGAAAGAGAAAAAAAATGCAACAACTAAATAATGGGGCCAGTGGTCGGAACAAAAAGCTTTGTCTCTCATGGTACGAGGCCAGTGAGGGTTTATTCACTTTGCATGACATTACATCCCCGTTGTGGAAGTCAGACAGAGGGATATCGTTTTTAAATTTGGACACACGTTTCTGAAAACAATATTATTCATTTGCTCTTTGCATGATCCCGGCCAATCAAATATTTAGCTCCAGGTTGACGTTAGTGCTCATTCTATCAGAATTGAGAATAAAACAGTGAGCCTATTCAGCGGAGCACAACAAAGATAGTCTGTTTCTCCCACACATTTCCTCTGACCCCTTTGCACCCGTTCTGCAGATTAACATTGCAACAAACCATGAATTACTACTTATTAAATCTACGCCACTTTTATGGATCTTCTTAGAATATTAGAAAGAGTAATTGTAAGTTTTTGATGATAGGTTCATCCGAGCATGACTTCCAAGCACCAGGCAAAAAACAAAGTGGACGGAGTTTACTTTCCCTTTTCGGATGACACCCACGGTAACCTGAAAGATTTAAAAGGAAACGTTAGTCTCATGTGAGTTTCGGGTCAGTGAGATCATCGAGCATTTGTTCCAGATTACTGCCACATGGACTACATCCATTTGCACTGGTCCTCCTTCAGTAGGATGAGATGGAATACATTGTCTGTGAGATTGATGAAAAAATAACCACAGTGCCCCTTCCTTCCCCCCCCCCATTAGGAAAGGCAATGTTGCTTTAATACTGCGGCATGGTGAGAAATCTGACCTTGCCCCGGGCAGTGGCATGTTTCTGGTTAGGCTCTGCTGAGCCGACCAGGCAGGGGACACATGAAAGGATCTCCTTGTCAGGCCGCAAAAGATGTTCAGTCTAAGTCTAATGAAGACCAGAACTCGTGGACAGACACGTTGCACGAGCACTACGACTACGACTCCGTCGATAAGCTTAGCGTGCGTCTCCTGTTCCTTTCAAAGGTTGACAAAGCGGGAAGCAAGAACAAGCGCGTGGACTGAAAGGCGGCGCTTCCAGGACACGGAGGTGAACGCGTCGAGCCGTCCAACGACGGACCGATAACGTGTTTGTTTTTCGTCGCCCTTTCATTTTAGCAACAATGTGCTTCGCTTTTGTGTCTCCACAGGGAACGTTATGTCCTAGTCTCTGTGTCGGCAAAAAGCTTTCCTGGCTCGCGCAAGTCAGCTGCTGAGCCGCTATAATACAAACCTAACCAAATTATTCTCGTGCAAACAAAGTTACCAACTGACACACCTGTGCAATCAAATACAGTCCAGAACTGTAGCCGCCCAATAACTCAAATCTCGTAATGTTCATTTTTGCACTAACACTGTTAGAAAGCTATTGATTCAGCTCGTCTGGGACAGTGTATAGACGTGTTGTGTGAGGCAACATATTGAATCCTCTTTTTATTGTTATTATTTCATCAACATGTAGGTCTTTTATTGCATTGCTGGGGATTTTAATCTATTACAATGCTTCATATTGTACATTGTAAAACAATGTTGTTTTGCATGTAGCAGTTGCAAAGTACAGAAAACTGTGAAAAAAAATACAATAGTGCCCCTTGAGATGTAGTGGAATAGAGATATAAAGCAGTATTCAGGTAAAGTACCTCAAAAGTTCCTTTCAACCATTGGGTCCAGTCTAATTCAGTTCGGTACAACTAGACCCCCAATTCAACCAATCTGAAGCAGAGTCAACAAGTCTAAACATTAAGAGGTTCACAAAGCGGTGAACACTTCTATTATCCTGAGCTTAAGCACACTTTGTTCAAAGGCCACGCTGTGGAGTTTGGGTCAAAGGTAAGCAAGAGGTCCAGTGTGTTTGTGTTTACTAAGAAAACGTCACCGGAGGAGTCGTTATCCAGATCCCTCCGTCCAAACCAAACATCCTTCTCCGCAGGCGTACAAAGTGGAGAACTCGGTGCAGGAAAGCACCATCCAGCTGGATAATAGCAGTTTATAATCCCCTCTGATTAGTGTTAATCCCCTTAATGCTCCTTCCTGAGAATAAACACATGTTGACCCAAGTGACCCTCTCCTAATAAAGGAATTCTGCTATGTCGTTTATTCATCGTGGTCTGTTACAGAAGTTTACAATGGAGCTCTTAATGATCCCATTTACATGAACTAACTACAACAACAGCTGACGTTTTTTTTTTTTTTTTTTTAATTGGGTGGTGTTTTTTCACAACACAATCTGACTGCAGCGACGAGGGCCGACTTTCCGTTAGCTGTGTTCTTTTCTCCTGTGAAGTCAGCTCGCCGGGGCCGGTAGTCGGGGGCCTCGAAGTTCACAGGTCGGCGTGTACCCAGGAGGATGGACGGCGGCGCGGGTCCCGGGCCCGGGGACAAGGGGCAAAGGGTCAGGGGGTCGAGTTCAGACGGAATCCACACGGAGGATGTTGGAATGGATGTTGTCAGGGGAGAACAGAGCTTCCTTCGCTTCTGCTGGCCGGCCGCTGCACAGCAGCAGAACACATCTCCTGCTGCGCACAGCAACTCACCGGTGTTCATTAGATGGCGCGTTACAGTAGCAGAAGAAGTTATGACAGCATAATTTGATGTGTAAACACTACGCGCTTTAGAGCCTCTGCTCGTCCAAATAAAGTTGCGTGACGGGAAAAAGAGTCGTCTTGTTATTTTTGTTGGGGAGGGATAAAAGTTTTGAGTCAATGCACAATTTTTCCTTTTTTACAGTAAACAATCAAAATCTGGTTGGTACTTCAGCTCAATCACAGTGGCACAATTTGTTTAGAGATTTCTCTGAGGAAAATCTGCTCCGTGTCCGTCTTGATTGTTCCAGATCACTGAAGGTTATCTTTTAAACAGTCAATCCATTTGTCCCTCTGCAGTGTTCTCTCTTCAACATCTGGTTCACACCCAAAATAGGAACTGTTCCCGTTTGTTGGTTTTCAGAAAGATGGCAGAAAAGGTAATTATTGCTCACAATCAAAGGCTGCACTGAGATATTTTTTTTTTTCAAAATTTCTGTTGGACTGAATTGGTTGTGCGTGGAAAATCAAAATGAGGGACGGGCTGAGAAGGGAGCATGAAATTGATTACTCTGTAAAAAAAAACGGCTTATATCTGCAATCACAAAAGCATCTACAGGCTACTGAGAACAAGGATCAGCAATTGGCTCCACAAATAAATAAGCGCCAGGATAATCTTATATTTTGTTTTTATTTTGTATGAAGATGTTGATCTAAATGCATTTTTTTTAAAGCCTGCACGTGGCACAGCAGGCCGCAATGTTTATACAGTGAGTATGCAGCATTTTGTCTTGTCTGTCTATGTGTGTGTGTGTGTGTGTGTGTGTGTGTGTGTGTAGGTGTGTGTGTGTTCTCCAAGGCTAAGAACTCATTTCCACCCTCGATGATCACAGGCACCATTGATTGTAATGCGGACGAGCAGGCTCGTTCTGCCCGTGGCGTACAATGGAATCTGGACATGTTTAAGGCACTAACTTTCATGTTTTTTTTTATGGTGGTATGAAGTTGAATGCTGATGTTGGAAGCAGCTGGCTCTCATTAACAAGACATGATGTCAAACAGAGGGCCTGGCTCAGGCT